CGGTCGTTTACCGTCAGCTTCTGTTTCTGTTGCAAAGACGGTAATTTCATCCACTTCATCAACGGCTTCCATAACACTAATTTTTGTTCCGTTTAGTTGTTGGTCTGCTATCCAGCTGTTGAATGAGGTCGGATAACCAAACCACTTGACTAAATATTCTTTACCGCCACGGGCACCACGTCGTTCTTTTAAAATCTGCTCGATTCTATAGGTCTCTTTGTCGTCAACTTTCTGTATTTCTTCCTTATAAAACGACCCGCGGAGTTCCTCACCCGAATCGTCTTTTAGCACATAAGTTACCTGGTTGGTTCTGTTGATGCGGCTGACGGTAAACAACTCTTCGGTCCAGGAAGCCTTATAACCTTTCTTAAATGTCTGCCTGGCTTGCGCGAGTCTCACACGACCACCTTCTTTAAACACATGTATGCTGGGGCTGTCAACACTCGAATACAAAGTACGCCATACTTGCTCTTGATTTCTGCGGTTAACGTCTACAGGGGCCATACGAATGCTGCGGTGATACGAATGATTGTAATTTCGCAAAAGACTACACAACACATCAATATAACGTTGTTTGTTGGTTTTGGTAAAATAACGCCACATCTTTTCTTTCAAGGTGCGGTTAAATCTTTCGACTACCGCCGCTTTCACATCTTCGTTTTCTGTCGTGAAAAAAATGCACTCCCTCGTCTTTAAGAAACTTTAAGAACGTCCGATTAAGGAACTCGGACCCTTTGTCACTTTGTAGTTTCATTGGCTGCCGCTCAGTAAATATTTCACTGAACGCCTCCACTAAAGTTTCTCCAGTTTTGTTTTTTATGGGAATGGCTCAAGCATATTTACTGAACACATCTATACAAGTAACCAAGTGCGCCATCCCGTCGTTGTCTTTTCGTAAAGATCTCATATCTATTAGATCAGCATGGAATTGTTGGTTGTCCACTGGTTATAATCGGACGTCTCTTAAAATGTCGCCGTATAGGTTTATGTAAGGTATATGTATCTTCGTGGCTGAGCCAATCTTTGATCTGTTTAGATGGCACTTTTGTGTTTCGTTTTAAGGCCACAGCGCCACCATACGCCCCCGGTTGTTTTGGATCATAGTAAAGTTTTCTGAGTTGCGCGGCCATTGCTCCCACTTTGGTGTAGGTATTTTAGACTTTTTGTTTCTTTGTCTTAGTTTATACCACGAGACCGGTGGTGTCTCCGTGTCAGCTGTCTTCTTGACAGTTTTAGCCGGCGACGGTGAAGAGTGACTGTGTTGTTGTCTTCTGTTTTTAGTGTTACTGGTAGTGGCGGCGACGGCAGGGTTTCTGTGAGAGTTTTAATATCAACTACACCCAATGACTTGTGTCGGTAATGATCCAGACGAGTCAAGTAACGTTGTAATGTCTGTTGATATAGTCGGGCTTTATCACGAGGCGACAGCTCTTCATTTTCCAGGACATGTTGCATATGAGTATCCAAATCACGTTATCATTGACTGTATCGGGTGGTACATATTGTTTTTGAAACACAGAGTTCACCATACGCGGGTCAATCAATATCATTTTCTTTTGCATGGTTAGAAACCCAAGATACCTTTTACCACACTTAGTATTGGCGCTAAGAAACCCACCGTGTTGTAAAATCTCTTTTCGCTTTTTGATTAAAAGTTTCTTTTTGGTGAGCGCTCTGAGGTTGTTTTTGTAACGACACAAACGTCTCTTCTGGTGGGGTGTCATTACCTTTTAATACGTTGTGACAACATTCACAAAGTGTCTGTACGAGCTCCGGTGAGTCGGTTTTTATGATGGCTTTGGCTGTGTGGGCTTTCGCCTCGCACAAAAAACACAGCATCTCGCCCTGTCGCTTTAGCTTGTCAGACATTATTTAGATACGTACACTACTCGTTTCTCGTCGGGGGAATATTTCGCTGCGTAGTCTGAGCTGGTCTGGGGTGTCTTGTCGGAGGTCGAACAGCAAATAACCGTGGGCGTTAGCCGTCGCGTCTTTAAAGCTTTCTTGGACGTAGGAAACGCGGACGGGATACATCTGTTTGGCCAAGTTGGTGATCTGTGAACCATTACGAGGGTTTTTGAAAACTATCAGGTAATGCGCGTTCAAACTGATGGTTCTTTGTTCTTTATTATTTCCAAAAAAGATTTTGTACAATATGAATCACGCTGATGTTGCGATGATGACTGCCTTGAGTAAACAGTTTAGTGATTCTGTCGTCCGTCTCAGACATCAAATCGTCTATGAGCACTAGACGTCGCCTATCTCCTTGCCATCGTTCCATATCCGGAAGACCTTCATTAAAGATGACGCCCTCCATGTTGTCGTACAGAGGTTGCCATTCCCCGTAGCACCAAATAATCTTCTCCGGCACCGGGTCGACCATAGCGTTCAGATATTTTAAAAAATTCTGCACAAATACAGTTTTACCGCTACCAGTAGGTCCGGTTATCAGAGAGATAAACGGATTCCTACACCGCGGGTCCATAACTTATAATGATATTGTCTGTTTCCAAACAGCTACTTTTATCGATTTGAAAACTATTCTAAAACTGCTTAACGTTACTAAGAAAAGGACAGTTTACGACGACGCGGATGACGATGGCGCCCAAGCCACACTTTCTCCCTACCATCAAAGCACCTTCCTATGTTTCTTTATCTATCCTCTAAAACGACCCCGCGGGCAGGCGTACCCCGTTGAGCGATACCAACTGAAATGTTTTTTTCCTAAACCGACTGCCCCAGCAGAATTACCACTGAATCCTACTGACCAATCAAAACCTTCGCCTATTTATTTATAAAGTCAGACAGTCTGCCAAATATGCCTCTTCTCTTCGGCCCTCAACAGTATTACCAGACACCCACCCTTCTGTCGTATGTCCTCGTTTTTACTATAGCTCAAACCATCCCTGAGCGATCGACCTTCGCTCCCATGACACAGATGATGATGATGACGGCGCTCAAGTCGCCTTTTCTAATATATCCCCGGTCATCAAACCGCCTTCCTAGGTTTCTTTACCTTATCCCTAAACGGCTCCCCTCTGCCACCTATAAGTCTCTTTTCATATCCCCTAACTTGTTGTAATCCCCTGCTAACCAACAACTCCTAATTTTGTCTATTACAGAACCGATAAGGCCACACCAACTCTATTAGTCGCCCTGTCGCCCCGGGTCCCCTGCCCTACCTGCCCCGCTGCTACACCTAAATAGTGTTCCTGACCTCACCCTTTATATAACGCCACCTGCCACCTGCAGTTATCAAGATAATAATGCGCCTACAAAGTATCTATTTCCTATACCTTCCCCGAAAACCAATCACTTGTGCTGTCATCAGCCGCCTGACCGATATTTACTAAGGAATAAAGAGGGCGGCTGCCTGATCAATATTTACTAAGGATAAAGAACAGCCGCCAGAAAGAACCAATCACTTTTGGCCGCCATCTTTTACTAAGGATAAAGAAGCCAGTTTCTAAAGACCCGATGTAAATAATACCTCTAAACGACTTATAAACTACTCATGTGGCTGCCAAATCGATTGCGTCCTGTTCTAAAGCATAGAATGATGAATTGATCTTGCCTGTCCATTATACGGTAACAGTCTTTTGCTTGTCTTGGTGGCTTTCTGGTTGATTTGATTGTTCTCTTCTTCTGACAAGAGTCTGTTCTGTGTCTTCTGCAGAACCTTGCTCTCATAAAAACCTTCCGGAAAACTTCTTGATCACAAGCAAGATGTTCCCTGTCTGATACATCCATCTGGAAATCATCCTGCACCCATCTTCTCTTTGGCCTTGCTCTTCCTCTCTTCCCAGGCATATACCCCTCCATTATTGTTCTCGTTAAACCTCAGTGACGTTTCAAGTGACTAAAATATTTCTGTTTTCTGTATTTTATCGTCTTTATAGCCAACCTCCTTCAATATTCAGTTCTTGAAATGTGGATGCATTTGTTCTTCTCTTTACTCACGATATTATTAGAACCCGTTTATAACATTTGTATTCAAAGGCCCGGAATTGTGGTTGGTGGGCACAATATAAACAATTTACGTTATGCTAATGACACAGTCTTGATAGCAATAAGTCAGAAAGAACTATAGGAAATGATAGACATTGTGGTGTTAGAAAGTGGAAGAATGGGTCTCAGTTTGGATAATGTAAAGACAGAAGTAATGGTGGTATAAAAGAAACCAATTATTCCTAAATATGAAATAAAAAGTCGATGGTGTTATTTTAGGACAAGTACACATATTTAAGTATCTGTGCACATGAATAACATCAGATGGAAAATGCATAGCTGAGATAAGAAACAGAATAGGACAGGCAAAATTTACATTTTATAAAATGAAAAACATCTTGTGCAATATATCCTTGTCATTGAAAGTTAGAATTCTTGCATGCTACATACATCCAGTTTTAACATATGACTGTGGATCCTGGACAATCGGTAGGCAGGCCAAATAATTTCTTGAGGCCTCAGAGATTTGGTTTTACACACGAATGCTTAGAATACCTTGGACAGCCAAAAAGAGCAACCAAGAGGTTTTGAAAGAGGCATGAGCCCGACATCACAGACATCAGAAGGAGACAGTCATCATTTTTCGGCCATGTTATGAGAAGAGGGAAAATAAAACACGTTGTGACGACTGGAAAGATCTGTGGAAGGAGGGATAGAGGAAGACAGCGAGAGAAGATGCTTGACAGTGTTGTTGCATGGCATGAAAGTGTGTCATGAGATCGCAGATTATGGAGAGGCATGATCGCCCACGCCAGTCGGCAAGGCACCTGATGATGATGATAATGATTCAAAGGCATTTATGCTATTTATGTTACGTGTAGCAAATTAATATTACGTCATTTATTTTTGTGTACACACATACATTTCATAACCACAAACGAAAGCTGGAAACCATACACGGCCAGTCAGCTAGAAGATATCAAAATGTACTAGCATGGTGAATAATATTTAGTAGTAGAATTGTGTTCTGTGGATTCACACAAATAGCCGCCATGTCCGACTGGCCAGCAGCCTCTGAGAATAGGAAACAAAAACCCGCCATGAAGGAGCGAGACAGGGCTGCGGGAGTAACTTCTGAGAAGGGAGACAGCTTCAGATCATGTGTAGTCATTCCAACCGGTAACCTCTTAGTAAGTATATAGTATATATGCATTAGAGGACTACCTGTGTGGGTTCCGGGGACAAATTAAGGGGGGGGGGGGACAAGAACAGGCCCACTGCCTTCCCAACAAGCATGTCGTAGGAGTCGACTAATTGGGGGCATAATTCGAAGTTGGAATACGCCTGCCTGAGAGGCAAGGTGCCAAGAGTCTGCATACAAATAAGCCAAGGGCATGTGAAACGGGTGGGCACGCAACACTCAGGTTCTGGAACAAGACCAAAACCCGGAGATGGGCGAACACCCAGAACTTTCCACCGGAGATTACAACCAGGGAACACGAAGAACCAAACTGGGACGACGGGGAGGGATGGGAGGGGTGGGGTGGGCACTTTAAGACCACCCTTACCGAGGCGAAGTCCAGCTCCTAAGGACTTTGGGAGTGGGCACTTTAAGACCACCCCTACCGACAAAAATAAATTCCTCTGCACCTCCTCTAAAAACACAACCTCTTCTAAAAGGTGGGGGGTCTGGACAGCACTAAAAAACACCTCACTAACTTCTGTTTTTTTAACTCTTCCCCTCCCCTGACACTTAAAACCACCAACACTAAAAACAAAACACTACCTCTCCTACACCTAAAACCCTCCTCTGTTGCTCAAAAACAAAAAACAACACTTCCTCTGGCAACACTAAAAACACCCTAGACACCCTAACAACAAACACCTAAACTCTGGGTGGGCCTACTAACACTCCTCTGCTACCACTTCTTAAAAAAACAAAACACTCGTCAGTGTTCTATCGTCAGTGTACAAAATGTAAACATAATTTCTTCTTCTTCTCCTTGGCGTTCAGCGGCTATTTCATGACTGTAGTCTTCTCTAAACCTTTGAGTGAACATCTGTTTTACAGGTCTGGCTGATATGTTTGCAGACTGTTGGTTCCTAGCATCCCTTGCAGATGCACACAGACTTCCAAACAAACCCCCTAATTAGTCGACTTTTACAACATGCTTGTTAAGGTGGCAGTGGGTCTGTTTTTGTTTTCCCCATAATATAATTCCCGGAACCCACACGGGGATAAACATATACTAATTTCAAAAATATACAAATATTTATTTGTCATTCGGCACAGCAAAGTTGGATGCTAGTTGGATGCTAGTTGGATGCTAGTTGAATGCTAGTTAGGATGCTAGTTGGATTACATTATGTGGGAGTCGCTGTGGTCTAGCGGCTAGACGTTTGCCTGTGGATCGCAAGGACGTGGGTTCGGGTTCTGACGTGGGCCAGGCTTTTTTCCAAAATGACTTTGGCTCCCAATCGACCCAGCCTTGAGTGGTACCAGGTTCCTGGGAAGCAAAGGCGTGATGCTGACCACATCAACCACCAAGTGTTGTTTGGTCTATAAAATATAAGTCTAGCCCTATATACCCAATACGCCTACAGGCGTGGAAAAGGGTCTTTTACTTGTATTATATTATGCGGATGGATTTGTAGTTGACTGTGGCTCTTATGTCGACATAGGTTTAAAAAAAGGGATACCAGAAACAAATCCTGGAAGTATCTTTAGAGTATCCCGCAGAAGAAAAATGTAATGAACGAGTCGAGAGGCTGGCAAGTAATACATACTCGAAGATGCATAGGCAGAGTTGATATCACTAGACTGACGGACAAGGACGAATCTCAGACGCTAACACGATTGCGTTACCTGGAAGTAAGGCTTGCCTAAAAACGTCTATGCCTTCCTTCTTCGAGGCCAAGAGAGGACCAACTATAACCAGCTTCTCATGACAACGATCAGTAGAGGTACCTTGAAGCGGGTGTTGCATCATAGGACTGAGCCTGATGTGCAGGGTGGTCGATAGTCATACCATGAAATTACAAACCATATCATGGGAAGTAAAGGCGGCAAATGAGGCGAAAAAGACAATTATCAAAGGCTATATAAATCATATCCTAATATCCTCCGTGTGGGTTCCGGTGCCCTATTGTGGGGAAAACAAGAATAGACCCACTGCCTCCCCAAAAGCATGTCGTAAGAGTCGACTAACTGGGGAGCTTCCTTTGACGTCGGAGTGCATCTGCCTGAGAGGCAAGGAACCAGCAGTGTGCATTCAATTGAATCAGATCTGTAAAACTGATGCACACGCAACACTCGGGTTCTGGAGCATGACTGCAGTCCAGAAGTGGACGAACAACCAGAACTTTACGCCAGAGTGTACAGCTGGTGAACACAAAGAAGAAGAAGATATCCTAATATGCGGAAGTAAATCATGGACAGTTGGTAGATTAGTGATAAATTATTTGGAAACGGTAGAGATTTGGTTTAATAGACGAATAATATGGATACACTGGACAGATAAAATGTTTAACGAAGATGTTTTGAAAGAAACTGACTCAAGAAGAGAACTGATTGCCAGCATCAGAAAGAGACAATCTACATTATTTGGTCATGTGATGAGAAGGACAGCTGGTGTTCATTGTAATAGCTGGAAAATTTGAGGGGCAGAGAGGCGGCAGGAGAGCCATAGAAAAGATGCAGCTATAAAGTTTGGCATCATGAAATGGATGTTCATCACCACACGGTATGGACTATAAGAAGATGAAGTTGAAAAGAAGAAAAAGTATGTTTATATTTCTGTCTGCTCATTAGTTCACCTGCCTGTCTACCTATATATATGTCTGTCAGTTACATAACCTGCATGTCAACTGTGACGTGCTAACAACATTTTTGGTAAACATTTTTTTTTTATTGCCTAATCTTCTTAGACATACGAGGCAGGGAAAAGATGGAACCAGCCAGGATCCAAATATTTCTCCAGTGTGCCCGGCCTAATCCTTGGCGAGCCGTTTGATACACGTAAACCCAGGAAAGGGTAAGACGTCGGTCCAGTATTTAACTCTTCGTCTGGGTACCAGAACAAGATTTCTTTTGAGATGTCGGGGAAGAAGTATTCGTGATTAAAATTCGTCAGTAACTTAACTTTCAAAGTGGTATAAAATAGTAGCAGTGACCATTGCACATGCAAGATTTATTGAGTGTGTTTTGACTGAACACAAAAGCAAGACAGCATATTGAGCTAAGCATGGTATTCGGTAAATATGATGATTCACACATCTTGCGTTGTTTGGGACTCAAAGAGTTAATGCATGACAGTTGTGAGGCATGCATGTAATTGATGTAATCACTGCCTACACTTTTCATTGCAAAAGATACATGTGCTTTATTAATATCCTACCCCAAACAGGGGAAACACATAGGTCACGGGACAGTCTAATATTTCAGGGGGTGGTAGATAGGCTGCATGCAGTCGGGGGACATAGGCTGCACTCCCTCGTGGGACGTAGGTAGATTGGGGTTAGGGTCAGTTCTATATTTTTCGGGGTCGTTAAAAGCATCAGAAAACCGGCAAACCCAGTTTTACCACCCTCTAAAATGTTGGACTGTCCTGTGCGGGGGGTGGTGGGGGTGGGGGGGGGGGTAGGACATTAATAAAGAACCAAGATAAATCCAATATCTTGCTGTTTATCGTTTAATATTTATTACAAATATTCCACTCGGTTTACGTCTCCCCGAACACTTATCGCTTGTCAACAGTGAGAAACGCTAACTGCATGCTGACACCACTCATGCAGAAACAGCAACGTGTGCGACTTACTAGGTACTAATATTACTTTCCTACTTGCGTAGAAATACTCTCAAAAGCGATGAGAAGGAAAATATCAAGCGATGCCATCTCCAGTTTATTCGTTACCCACTAACCCTTACAAGTTTATCTAATCCGTTTTCACATGCGAAATGACAGCGTCTTGCAATTGGTGCATAAGGACGGTCATGCTACACGACTCTTTAGTCTGTAAATGCGAGGGAGATGACAGCAACATAGTTTAACTTTCTTATCAACTAGCTTACTAAACAACCAAACAGATTAGCAACCAAACAACCAGTTCTACCGGGGCTTACCACTACAAACCCATGCTAAAACCCTCGACAGCGAATTTTAATGTGGAAAATATGGTAGACTGCAGTCATATGGATATCAAAAATTGAAATAACTAAAGACAAAATATGATCACAAAGCTCAGAACTGAGTTAAGTTATTAAGAATTTGTCCGTCTTGCCTTTTCCATGAGTCGGCCCGAACCCTTCTCCGTTGCACTTTAGACTGTGATGTTCTATTTGTGCCCTCACACTGTTCATTCGCTACCAAACACTAAAGGCCCACCCCGGCTTTTGCCGGGAGCCGTAATAAAGCTTAACGGTTAAACGCGGTTTCTGGAACCTTTCCACTGGTGATCCTTATCGGCATGGTGGCACTTTGTATCACCCGCTGTTTAGCGCTCTGTGTGATGTCCTGGTGGGGTGAAGTTTACTTACTTACTTACTTACTCTTTCGCTACCAAAGTTTCTTGACGGCTTGCTGTGAATCAGTTTACTATCGTGTAGTGCACAATCTGCAAATATGTCTGCCTGTTCCTTTACAAATTCTTCTTCTTCTTTCGTTCGCAAGAAATAAATTGTCTATATCTGCAAAGCTGTCTCTAGTATGAATTTCACTGTCTTTTGTAATTCACTAAGCGGCCCGTAAAGTTTGACTTCCACAAGTGTCTCTTTTGGCCAAAGGTTTTGTCTGAAAGCGCTGAATCTGGGACAGTCTTGAAAGATGTGATCTGTTGTTTCAGGTGCCAGTCCACAAGTACACATGGCTGATTGGCCAATCTTAAATTTGTTGTACATGTGGGAGCGAAGTCGCTTCTTGTCGTAGGCCGGTAAATCGAACCACGTGTACGTGAGTGGGTCACATGGTGGAAATCAAACTTATTTGCAGATATAGAAATATTCCCTGTTGCGTTTGTGCGTGGCATCCTGATTGCTGTGGTGCGCCTCTTGGCTGGATGCCTCCGACTTCAGCACCTTGTTTTGCTAGAGTAGACTGGGGTCTTACCCGTGGACTCCCATGTTTATAATGGGAGCGTGGCTCCTACGCGGTTACATTATCGGAATTAGGACACGGCCGCCGCCGTGGCTATTTTGTGGAAATAATTCCGTTATAACACCCCTAAACCACATAATACTTGTATCCACGAACAAGAGAATATCCATCGTCAATGAATTAGTAATAATCGCACTCTGTTATCAAGAGAAAAACACCGATTAAGTGAAAATTGTAGAATAAAATCGTCTTCACGCTGCCATTTCTAAACCAGAAGTCCCCTTTACAAATGCAGCTTCATGCCCTGGAGAAAATATTCTTATGGCTCTAACGACTTGACATCTCCGAAGCGATGCTTGCCACTCTGCACAAATATCTGTCTCCACCTTTTCAATATGTTTTGCGAGACTAATACATTCAAGACGTGTGTGCAGTTGGTTTTGAATTCAGAAGAAGGCCGCAGTGACCGCCCCCACCTTGACCTTTATTCTAGATGTTGTAGTTTCATATGCCAGGCTTTGTTGGGTCGTCCATTCGCTTTTGTTATGAATTCTCATTCTCTCATTCATTTTTTTAGACTATCAACCCAGATTGGGAATGGTCATGTATCAGTACTTGAATTTCTGATTCCGCTCCGCCCACTAAAAACCTTTCTGTCTCGGCCGGTTGTGACCATAATCCTGTTGTACTGCTTGATGGTAACTTGAGGCAACTGTGCAGGACATCAAGGGCTTCTTTTGGCATTTGTGAAATGTCGCAAGCTAGTTTGGTTCGGGCACATGTTGAGATATGATTCGATTGCACAGACTACAAGGAACATCGGACGGGGTTGGGGGGGGGGGGGGGGGGGTAGTCAAATAAGAGAGGGGGGGGGACAAAGAAGAAGTTGGAATGACAACATCAAGAAATGGACACGACTAAACTATCATATACTAGTTCAACAAGCAGAAGACAGAGAAAGATGACAGATTTAACGTGCCAGTGCCTCCATCGATCCACATCCACGACCCTAACGAGTTAACGGATGCGTTTTTATGTTAACCTGAGGCGTGACAAGCCTGGTGTTGTTGAGGCCTTTTGGAAGCAAGTGAACAGTGCGGAAGAGCAAATAGACTGTCAAGCTTTGAAGAAAACTGAGCAGCGAAGAGAGACCATGGGATCTGACCGACACTCAAACGCTCAGGGTTAGGACAAGACGGACATACATTCAGACTTACTACTTCCATGGGCATTGAAACTCTGCGCTTATGAAAAAGTCTTGAGTGATGTAATGCTGGTTCTTAACTGCATTCACCTTAACTCTAATTTGCTCGTCGATCACGGCTTCTTTACTCTACATCAGTGTTTTCCAACCTTTTTTATGTCCTCCCCCACCCAAGCCTGTCAAAAATTTGTTACCCCCTCCCCCCATGTAACGTAAACTCCAGTTGCCATTAAAAATAAAATTGCCATCCCCCCCCCCCCACCCCCCCAATTAAAAAAAAAAAAAAAAAAAACAACAACACCAAATTGTTCCTCTTAACTATTAAATTGCCCCCTGGACCACCCCGGGGGCCCGGGACCCATGTTGAAAAATACTGTTCTACTTCTATAAGTCTCAGTCAATACAAGGAGATTGGTTTGTGTTAACTCGTTTACAGGCGCTGGGGAGAAATTGCAGACTCAAAGATAGCACGTGATTCCGAGTGTTTCGATGAGGCCTGGGATAAGATGAAGGTATGATGGTTCAGCCAGTCGTCTGTTAGTCCTCTGTTGTTCATTTTCCATCATCTTGCTCGCCCATACCTATTTATTTTTCTCTCCCTGCCAACATACCAGAGCTTGTCTGAACATCAGTTATTCAGATTACCCATTCATCCTTTAATATCCATCTTATCATCCACCCGTCTATCTCTCTACCCAACGCCCTTTATGTCTATCTCTCTTTAAAAACACACACACAAACACACGCACACACAAATATATGCACACAAGCGCGCGCAAACACAAACAGAAGCATCATCCTGTGCTTTACTGACAAGCATAGGTTCTCATGTTTCGTCATGTATACTCGTGGGTATTTGAGTGTTTGTGTGTGTGTGTGTGTGTGTGTGTGTGGTGTATGTGTGTACACTAGATTTAATAGCTCCATCCTGGGTAGTTAATGAAAATGTTATTTTCCCGCTCCCTACTTCTCTGTCTCCACCACTGCCTTATATTTATTTATTGCCCCTAACTACTTCTGAGGTTTCTAACGCTCAATGGGCCGTTCCGCCCCCCCCCCCCACTCCCACCCCTACACCCACCCAGTCCAATTTGATCGACGTAGCTACCACCCCCTCGAACGACCCAAGGCTCCCAAGGGTAGGTAGCACCCATTCCAGAGAAAGGGGTCTAGCCACTACGGTATCGTGGCTCCCACTTTAGAAAAAGAGTTACTATCGAGACTTTAGGTCTAAAGGGAGGTAACAAAGTTTTTTTTTTTTTAAACTTTCTTCAAGTAAAAGTAAGTAAAGGACCCTTTTCCACGCCTTTAGGTATATAGGGCATATAGGGCTAGACCTATATTTTTATAGACCAACGGCACAAGATGGGTGAAGTGGTCAGCATTACGCCGTCCGCCTTTACTTCCCGGGACTGCACCCGGTACTCACTCAAGGCTGGGTCGACCTGGAAGCCAAGGTCATTTTTGAAAATTGCCCGGCTCCACCAGAGAGCGAACCCACGAACTTCCGATCGGCGGCGAGCATCTAGTCGCTCGGCCACGGGGACTCCCACTTTCTTCAAGGGGCGCACACAAATGTGTAATACAAATTGAAATCGCCCCATTGAATGGTAACTTTTAGTTGTTGTGTCGTTTAGTGCAGTTCAAGACAAATCACATAAAAAAATTGCCGTCGGTGCGAATTTAGCTCAAATAAAAAGGACTTAAGTGAATATATCTAATCACAAAGGGAAATCATAATCGTTGAAACAGATAACCTTTTTTAAAAATGCCAAGACTGCATCAAGAGAGAGACAGTATTACATTAAAGCTAAATGAAAAAGCTGATTACTACTTACCGTCCTTTTTGGATAAAATGTTTCGTTATTTGAAGCCCCACCCTGTCTCTTGCCAGGGGCCGCAATATAGCCAAGCCATAAATATGGCCAATTGGCTGAACGCTGTTTCTGGAACCTCTTCGTGGTGATCCTCATCCACATGGTGGCACATTGTGTCATCGGGTGTTTATCGCTTGTGTGATGTCCTGGTGGGGTAGAAAGTCAGTCAGTCAAAGAGCTGATAAGCAATCTGAGGAAGGAGCAGCTGAAGAAAAGCCTGATATACCACTTTCTAATCAACAGAAGAAGAGAAGAATCGATAAACTAAATACAGTCGTGTGGGTCTTAGATTTTGGGAACATGCTTCGCAATTCCGAGATGCCGGGTTCGATCCCAGCTGCAGAAGATTTGGTAGCAGATCTCCTTACGTTGGTTACAACAGTGGGCCGAACGTTGAGAAAGCAGTACCAAACTGCTGAACGTAAAATTGCCTAGTGACATCACAACCTGTTTGGTTTACGACCTGTTTGGTTTACGAACTGTTTGGTTTACGACCTGTTTGTTATATGACCTCTTTGGTATACGACGTGTTTGTGTATATCAGGTCGTATATTGTGACCCGTTTAATATAAGACCTGTTCGGTATGCGACTTGTTTGTATACGACCTGTTTTATATACGAACTGTTTGGAATACGACTGGTTTGGTTTACAACTGGTTTGGTTTACGACGGGTTGTGTACACGACCGGTTTGGTTTACAATCTTTTCAGTATACGAATTGTTCGGTATACCACCTCTTTGGTATATGACCATTTTGGTTTACGACCTGTTTGGTATACGACCTTTTAGTATATGACATGTTCGGAATACGACATGTTCGGTATCCAGCTTGTTTGGTATACGATCTGTTTGGTTTATGACCTTTTTAGTATACAACATGTTTGTGTATACTAGGTCGTATTTACGTAACCCGTTTGGTATAGGACCTGTTTATTTTACGACCTGTTTGATTTATGACCTCTTTCGTATACGACCTGTTTGTGTATACCAGGTCGTGTATATGTGACCTGTTTGGTTTACGACCTTTTCGGTATACGATCTGTTTGGTATATGCCCTTTTTTGTTTACGACCTGTTTGGTTTACGACCTTTTTGGTATACGAATTGTTTGGTTCATGACCTGGTAATTTTACGACCTGTTTGGTTTATGGCCTCTTTGGTATACGACCTGTTTGTGAATACCAGGTCGTATAAATGTGACTTGTTTGGTTAACGACCGATTTGTTATACGACCTGTTTGGTGAAAGACTGTTTGGTATACGACCTGTTTTTGTATACGACTGGTTCGGTATACGACCTTTACGGTATACTACCTGTTCGGTATACGGCCTGTTTGATATATGACCTGCTTAGTATACGTCCTGTTTGGTATAAGACCTGTTTGGTTTACGACCTTTTCGGTATACGATCTGTTTGGTATATGAGCTGTTTGGTATATGACCTGTTTAATTTACGACCTGTTTGGTTTACGACCTTTTTGGTATACGAATTGTTTGGTTCATGACCTGGTAATTTTACGACCTGTTTGGTTTATGGCCTCTTTGGTATACGACCTGTTTGTGTATACCAGGTCGTATAAATGTGACCTGTTTGGTTAACGACCGGTTTGTTATACAACCTGTTTGGTATACGACCTGTTTTGTATACGACTGGTTCGGTATACGACCTTTACGGTATACTACCTGTTCGGTATACGACCTGTTTGATATATGACCTGCTTAGTATACGTCCTGTTTGGTATAAGACCTGTTTGGTATTCGACCATTTTGGTATATGGACTGTTTGGTAGTAGTACATTTTACTCCACTAGGACATCACACAAGCAGTAAACACCCGATGACACAAAGTGCCACCATGTGCATGAGGATCACCCGTGGAGAGGTCCCGGAAACCGCGTTTAGTCATTAGACCATATTTATGGAAAAATTGCATCCCACAAGGAGATGACTAGTTAGATGACCTGTTTGGTATATTTTCAGTTTGATATACGTCCACGGATCTGGGACTGATTGAGGTTATTAAGGACACATCACATATACATATACACACAGACACACACACACACGCACATATATTCAGAGGGCCGGCAAGACATATATATATATATGAATATTCCTCAGATCAGCAGAATAGACAGAGAAGAGATAGCGATGGAGGATGCTAGAAGAGACTTACAGAGGCGTATAGATATTTGCCTTTACGGTGCACCGCGCGTACCAGAAGTTAAACTAGATCCATGTCCTGTTCGCAGAAGAGAAGTAAGTTCTGTCTGATTTACCACATTGTCTTCCATATAACCAATGGTTATGTTTACTTTAAAGCAATATGTTTAGTGCTACTCCAGATTCAGCCCGCAAGAGCCCTGGACGGCCGCGGCTGGAGATTTCCTCTCGGCTCCATTCATGAGCAATGGCCTTTCCTACGGGCTGCTGTATGTCCTAGGGTTGTCAGCATATGGGTTTATTCCATACACGAGTTGATCGTTCCTCACTGCGCATGTCTCCTTCCTGACACAAGACATTGAGTGACGGGGTGGTATTTTTCGTCTTTTTGGTGGTTTTTGTTTGCTTCTGTGCGGAGAGGAGTGTTGGACTAACTTCTTATCCCTCCGCGAACTGCTTGTCTTCTGCCACCGTCGGTGGTTTGAGAATTGCTGACATTTTGGGGCGGGCTCTGCAAAGGGCTGTCTATGGGTGGGCAGGGGTGGGATTAGGGTTAGGGTTAGTCTTAGTTTAAATGTACATACATTATTCTGGTTAAGATATTTAGTAAGTTCAGTTTTTTCGTCAATATGACTCAAACTGAAATACTTTTGCATACTTTTCAAAATAAAAACCCAAAAACCCAGACGACAGCTAAAAATCCATATCTTGGGCCCGGGCTGGGGGTGTGGTGGTGGTGGGGGAGGGAGGGGGAGCAGCATAGGCGGCTGTCAGTTTTACAGATGCCGTGTTGCTGCAGAAAAGCGACGCTGCTTGTTGAAGCTCTTCAGTGCTAACAGTGAAGGAAATTCATCTCCTACTTCAAGTCGCCGAGTAAGGCTGGAGTGGATAGCTATGAAGCTGTAACGTACACAGTGCCGTCGCTGACGTAGAAAATAAAACGTGTAAATTGCCGCTCACGAAGCGGAACATAGAACACTTAGGGCATTCAAAAGAACACAAAGTGACACCTCTAGTACATACATCAGCCCTTGGGAAAGACCACGCCTATGAATGGAGGCGACAGGAAATCTCGAGCCCCGGCGAGACTCGAGCTTTTGCTGGTACAATCGTGAAAAGTACCTATTTTTCTTCGAACACTGGGGTAAATCAATATATACTAGTCATGGTCCCCTCAGTAAGTATGCACGTATGATGTCTCAGTGTGAGATTCGGAATCACATATCTGACAGTAATGACGTTTCAGAACCAACACCAGCACTTTCTGGCTGTTGTGGTTTTTTTAGGCAAATTTACGTCCAGTAGTTTGCCATTCGTCGGCTTTGTGGCTAAGTCGATGCGAAAGCTTCGTAATGCCGGGATGGCGGGTTCGATTTCAGCTGCGGGCCATGCGCCTTGTGTTGGTTTCGACAGTGGTATCAAGAAAGCCCACCGTCCAGAAGAAATGGCAAACTACTGGACGTATTTGCCTTGAAAAACCACACAACAGCCAGGGGCTGGGAAACTGCTGTAGACCAATGGACACTGCAGATGATGTAGTCAACATCACGCCCACCGCCTTCACTTCCCAGGGCTCTACTTGGTACCTTGGTAAGGGTGAGCTGATCCGAGAACCACATTCATTAGTGAAAAAAGTCCAACTCCGTCCGAACTACAACATTCGGATCCACAGGGTAGTGTCTAGTCGCTCCACCACGGTGACTCCAAATAAATATGTCTAGTGGCAACAAACAATAATAATATTGTTGAAATCACATAACTTAAAAATGTAATTTTATACATGGTTATGGCGGGGAAGGGGCGAGCAAAAAGCCCGAGCTGCCAGGTTCTGACTCCCTTCTTCTTTACTCAATATTTTGGGAAGCAACGGCGATCGGAATGATTTTGAAGTTGAAGTCAGGTTTTCTTCGTATGGAATGCGTTACAATCAAAAGGTAGCAGGTGGTGAGAGTCACTTGGATATTTTGCCGGGATGTTTAGGTGTGTTTGGGAATGAGTAGGCTGAGAGGCTGGCTGGACTGGTCCCACTTGTAAATGTACTGCAACTGCACAAGGCAGAGATGGTCTTTAACCTGTGGGACAAGATAACAGGTAAAATAGTAATATATTGAAAATCCATACCTGTAGAGAATCATACAGCTGGGAGTGGCTATGGGCCCTGGGCGCCAACTGAGATTCAGAGGGACGGCAAGACAAGTAGTTAACCAGATGATATCAGGTTCCATCACCGTAGAGACTCTGCTGAGGAGGGAGACGGAGCTAATTTGGGCGTGTTCTGAGTGTTGTCATGGCGAATCTTTACCTAGATGAGCCCAGACGATATGCTGGAAAATTTCAATTTTAAAATATCTCAACGTGATTCTGTTGTGTATTAGTATTTCAGCTACCCTGCCGATGTCACGTCAATCATTTTAACGCAGCCTGTAGGTTAAAATATCTTCTTTGCTGTTTGTAATGGCTCCTAAACGAAAACTCGCGGGCTGACGCGCGCCAAAAATTAGAGTCATGAGACCCAGACGGTCTTGATTCTAGTCATGTTACCGCAAAGAACATTTTTGACAACCAGGGAAACTTGGTGGAAAGAAGTTTAAAAAATACATATCAACGTCTTGACAGTTTAGTCACATGGCTTGGGCGAGGCAAGCGCACAGTCATGATCTGTAATTCTGGTGATTGTCTGAGATGGAGAACCAACACTTATCGCAGTACACGACGAAGCAGTGAATCCAATCAATCAATCAATCAATCAATCAGTCAGTCAGTGCATGCATAGACCTCATACAGTTTGAAAGATAAAAAGAATCGATACTCGAATGCTGGCTACTTTTAAAATGCATATGATATGGCGTTAGTTGCCATGTCCATTCATATTCTTCTGTTTCATGTACTTTCATGTAGTTCGGAGTTGCCATGTCCATTCATAGTCTGCTGTTTCATGTAGTTTCATGTAGTTCGGAGTTGCCATGTCCATT